GAATTATGTGGTTTAAAATGTGAGAACCCTTTTTATCTGCAATAAGGAGGTGGGAGAATTATCTGAGAGAACTTTAAACTTCTGATTTTTGCATGTTCAGAGGACAGGGAATCTCAAAACAGGTGTTACAACTTCATCTTTCTCCTTTCAAACTGATGTAGAATTAAAAGACAAGTTGCTTTTGCAGTGTCTTACGGACAGTAGTGATTTATCGTGCCAGAACTCGGAGCAGAGCACATGGGAAGTAGTTCAAAGCAGAATTTATGCTTGGAACTATGTAGACAAAAGATTGGGGTGTCAGCAAAATTAATTTTCAGGTAAATAAAAATTGACGCAATGTTATGTTTGAAGAGTTATTTGAAGGGTGATATTTTTGTTGAAACTGAAGAGTTACTTTGCCTTTAAAAGGAAAGTGTTTTTTCCCTTGATAATTCCATTTTCAGGGTTGTCGTTTTGGTGCACTGCTTAAACAAGTTATTCTGAATTTTATTAATTTCATTTTTTGTTAATAGTAATTTTTGCAAAACAAAAAAATTGTAGTCTAATTTAGGTAGCAGCACCTTGTGGCTTTATATGGCATGTAGGAATGGATGGATGAAAAGTGATATATAAATGGGGTTGGTATTCCTACCTGCAAACAGGGACAGGTAAAGACTCTCCAAAAGGGCACAGCAACAGAGCCAGAAGTAATGCCAGAAGGATCAAGGTTCTCCGAGCCTGCTTTCTCCTGTAGCAGACTTTAAGAGTAAGTTTAGGCCAATTTTTAAAACATGCTACATTCAGATTATAGGGTAAATTACCCTATGTTGAATACAGAAAAAAATTAATTGAGCCTATTTATACTGTGAACTGACTACGTTTGGCTTTAGGTGACTGGAGGAAGCTGTCCCACTAAGACTGGGAATTAGTAAGTCGTGTTCCTCCCTCCAAAGCTAGTGAAACTGTTCACCTGGATTTTTTCCCCTCTTACCGTTTATTACAGTTTGAGTGTGTATATTTATTTGTAATGTTTTTTTGCCAGAAATCTGAGTCTGTTTCCCCAGATATAAACAAATATATATATTTTTATATATATATTTATATATCTTAGATTTTTTTTTTTATATATAAGATATAAACAAATAGTGGGCAAGTATTAACTCTTGAAGTTCTAAGGCTGTGTTTTAAAACCCCATTGTTCTCCTTTTGGCATCTGTTTAATTTAGATAACCCCGTGAACAGGCAAATGTGAACCTTTTGCCCATTGATAAAGAGATGGAAACCCCTCAGGATGGCGTAGTTGCAATTCCCAAAAGATGACGGTGCAAAAGTGAGTATTAAGATGCCAAAAAAAAAAAAAAAAAAAAAAATGT